ATCACTTCCCAATTTTCTTAGGAAGCACCATATTAATTTCAAAGCTATATAAGGTTGTACTCCAACAAGCCATGGAGGAGTGTTTCACTTACTCCACATCCATGCCAGTATGATATGTTTTTTATGTTAGTTATCTTAGCCAATATGACAGCTATAACATAAATATCAAAATAGTTTTTACTTGCACATCCTTGATGGCTAAGGATGTTGACCATTTAAGTATTCCTCAGTCATTTTAGATTTCTCTGTTGAAAATTCTGTGTTTAGGTTTACACCACATGTTTGGATTATTTGGTTTCTTCAGGTCTAGTTTCCTGAGTTCATTATTATCCTGAGTGTGGCAACTGAGAACCACATAGACACACATGATTATGTACTCACTTATAAGTGGATATTACCTCTTAAGTAAAGACTAATCACAGTACAATCCACAAATCCAGAGAGGCTAAGTAATAATTATAGCTGAAGGGAGGGATGCACAGATTTCCCTAGAATGGGGAAATAGAATTGATTTTGTGGGTTGATGGGAACAGGACCAGAAATGATCAGGTGAGGAAGAGAAGAACCATGGGAGAGAATAGAGAGAAAGGTGAGAAGAATAGGGACAATTGAGGTGGCAATGCATGTCCTATTAGGGTTGTTCTTCTTACCTAGCTTCTCTGGGATTGTGAATTGTAGCCTGCTTATCCTTCACTTTAACTCTAATATCCACTTATGAGTGAGGACACACTGTGTTTGTCTCTTTTGATCTGGGTTACCTCACTCAGGGTGACTTTTTTCTAGTTCCATCGATGTGCCTAAAATTTCATGATGTAACTGATTTTTAACTCTGAGTAATATATATATATATATATATATATATATATATATATATATATATAGTGTAATCCATTTTGAAATACATTCAAATAGCAGCAGAAATGACAGCTCAACAGACCTGTTCTGAACACCCTATACTCCCCATAGTATAGTCTGCGGTCTTCCTTACAACTCACTACAATAGAAGAAGAGGAGAATCCTGGAAAGAACCTGCAAGTTACCTGCCACTACTCCTGATTGCTAACCCTTCCCAGAGACCTTCAATGGCTAAGGGTCACCCAGGTTGATGTAAGAATATCAGCAGCTACATTTGTGAAAGAGCAGAGATAAAATGATTCAGAAAGCACAGACCTTCCAGCTCTGCCCACCCAGCCCAGTAGACAAGGCTCTAGTCAAGAAAGTTTGTACTTTAGTAGACATTCTTCCACTCTTCTATAGCACATCCTGTTCCTCATCCAAAGCACAGGGTTCTTTGTGTGCACATTGTATTACACACTTTTTATGCAGTGCAGCCAACACACTGCCTTGTATCTGGGAGTTCTACAGCCAAACACAGTTCACAAACACATAGTAACTGTTGTATAAGTTACTGTGTAACTGTTCTTAAAAAAACAAGCCATGAATTAGAAAACAATGAGGGGTCATGGAAGGGCTTGGAGACAGGAAAGAGAATGTAAATATGATATAGTTATAATTTCAAAAATTATTTTGAAAAGTTGAAGCAGGCTTTATGTCCATGTGCTTCAGACACTAGGGATAGATATTACAGCACATCAAATGTTTCTCAAAGCTTTCATCTCAGAGTATACTTCTAAAACCAGAAAAATAACGTCCTGATAGGGAGAGCCACAACATTTTACACAGATCTATTTTGGTTGAACTATTGTAACTATAGCAACTTGATTTCAAGATAAGTTCAATCCTTTATTCAGGTTCTGGATTGCCCTGGTCTGTGGACTGAAAGAAATGGCCCATCAGGACATTTACGGAGCATCTAAAATTGATTACCTAATTCCACATTGCTAATCTCAACTATTGTTAAAGTAGGAAATCTCTCAACCTCTATCCTTCCTCTCCCTTTCTGCACTGTGACTCTACCAGCTTCAAAGTTGGTCAACAAACTCAACTCTTGCACAGGTCCCTCTTCAATTGTAAGTTTCCAGAAATGCCAGAGTTTGGAGGACACTCATTCAGTGGTCTATTTTTCTTTCTCACTGACCAGTTAAGACCCAGACTAGAAGAAATGGCAGAACTATCTTCACAGCCCTCAACAGCACAGTCAGGATTAAAATATCAAAGCAATTCTCAATTACATTGTGTGAGCAAAGTGTGAGCTAAAGAAGAAAGTGTTCTAAATAGAAAAAAAATTATCAATACCTGAGAAAATGCAAAAAACCTTTATAACAAGAAAATACAATGTTTCTTAGCATACACATATGAGGTATTTAATTTATTTTATATTCTCTATTAAGTATGTTAACATTAACATTGTTAAAATGATTTGACAAAACATAAAAGGTTGGGCGTGCATCATCTGTACTTAGAATTGTACTTAGCAGACCAAAACATGAGGATTATGAGTTCAAACATATCCTTGACTAATTACTGATGTCCCAGCCAGGCTGGATAACAAACAACATTTTAAGGTAATTTATGAAAAATATGAAAAACCCACCACCCTTTTACAGACAAACTTACTTGAAAATTATGGTCACATAGTGCCTGATATTTAAATACAAACAGACCACTTAGATGATGGACATTATTCTATACATTGCAGCAGATAAATTCCTCTCACTAAGTGAGAGCACAATAGAACATGAAGAAAAGCCACAGAAGGAATATAAAAACCACAAAATAATCTTCACTAAGTAGATTTACATTACCTATAGCCACTTTAATATATACCTCAAAATTTGCAAAATAGAAGCCATAATGAGATCTTCACATCAGTCTTTAGTGAACATGTTGAATAATTTACTTAATTCAAGGAAATGAAAACAGGATGTTCCTAGTTTTTTTTTCTTGAAAATGAAGACAACTGTGATTTCTAAAGTTTTTACCAAATGTTTACATGAATACACTTTTTCTCTTGTATGAGATTTTCCTTATTTCCTGATATTAATAGTACATAAATGAAAGCTCTAAAATATTTACAGGGCTAGAGACTTGGCCAATCTCTAAATACAAGCTCATTCCCAGGGTTTTGACAACTTACTGTAATTCCCACTGCAAGAAGTTCCAGGGGTCTAACCTTCTGGAGAAGCAGAATGCACATGCACAAGTACAGACAGGCATCACATAAGTAAAATTAAAAGAAATCTTCAAACTAATTTTTACTTAATGTTTTTCTGTTGTAATTCTAGTCATAAAGGTATTGAGGCATCTGAATGCTTACAGAGTTACTCCCAATCATGTATTGATTCATTTAACTGAAAGCAAGCATGTAGGCTTGACTTCAGAAAAATCAATGATTCTCAGTCTGGGGTATTATTTGAGAAAATTAAGGAGATGCTGTCCTGCTGGGGGTAGGCCTGAGAGTATAACATTTCCCATTTATACTTTAAGCTTTATGTTGCAGATTAAGAATGTGAATTTTTAGTTTCCTATTTTAGCTGCTATGTCTGACACTTGCTTCCATGCCACTTTCATACAGACCTTGTATTGCTTTGGAACCAAGGGCCAATTAAATACTTTCATAGGTTCACATTAACATGATGTCATCAAAGCAACAAAAATGAATTAGTACTCATTCATGAAGTTTTACACCTGGATTCATTATCTCATGAAATTGAAGTATGAAATCTAAAAGAGTTACCATATTGTTTAAATCCATAGTCATTTTGATCATGTGAATTTGCAGGAATAAACCAAATACAGAGGGACATCACAATTCTTGAAGAGAATTTTGACACCTGTGAGATATTTCTCTCCATAACAATCACGTGTAACTGAATATAAGTGTGTTTGCTAAGGATCTTATCAAATCCTTTATAGTCACATTTCTTTGGTATGAGTTTTTTTATAGATGCTCAAGATGTAAAGTTATATTCACAGGCTTTTATACACCAATTACACAATAAAATTAATACTTTTCTAGGGTATCTCTCCAGTATGTGTTCTTCTATGCAATGGAAGAATACTGTGTTTTGCAAAGGCTTTACAATACTGATTACATTCGTAGTATTTCTCTCCAGTATGTGTTATTCTATACATTTGAAAATGACCATGCTGTACAAAGACTTTACCACACTGATTACATTCATAGGGTTTCTCTCCAGTATGTGTTCTTCTATGCATTTGAAGTTGACCATGTTGTACAAAGGCTTTACCACACTGATTACATTCATAGGGTTTCTCTCCAGTATCTGTTTTTCTATGCATTTCAAGATTATTGTGAAGTACAAAGACTTTACCACACTGATTACATTCATACAGTTTCTCTCCAGTATGTGTTCTTGTATGCCTTTGAAGATTAGTATGATATCCAAAGGCTTTAGTACATTGATCACATTCATATGGTTTCTCTCCAGTATGTGTTCTTGTATGCCTTTGAAGACTACTGTAATGTCTAAAGGCTTTAGTACATTGATCACATTCATATGGTTTCTCTCCAGTATGTGTTCTTTTATGCATTTGAAGAACACTGTTTTGAGCAAAGGCTTTACCACACTGATTACATTCATATGGTTTCTCTCCAGTATGTGTTCTTGAGTGCCTTTGAAGATGATTGTAATGTTCAAAGGCTTTACCACACTGATTACATTCGTAGGGTTTCTCTCCAGTATGTGTTTTTCTTTTTTCTTTCTTTCTTTCTTTTCTTTCAGAATATGAAAATTTATTATTGCATTTCCATTGTCAAAATTTAGGATCTTGGTCTTTCCTTCTTGCCTTTGTACAGGGCCCAAAGGGACACATTGGCTACTTTAACAACCTTGAAGCGGACTCCAGGAATATTACCTACAGCATGACCTTTTCAACCAAATTCAGCAACCAGAACTTCATTGTTTTCCTTAATGAAGTTCAAGCAGCCATTATTGGGCACGAAAGCTGTGATCTTCTTGCCGTTCTTGATGAGCTGCACCCTGACACACTTCCTGATGGCAGAATTTGGCTGTTTGGCTTCAACCCCTACTTTTTCCAGCACAATTCCCTTGGCATGAGAGGCACCTCCAAATGGATTGGCCTTCAGTGCTATACCCAAATGGGCTTTATTGTATTGTTAATCATGCTACTTCTGGTCCCGTCGGTGGCTGCGGAGGTTCCAGTCAGTACGGAGACCATGACACTTGCCCATTTGCCGGCACCACGGGCCCGAGAGAAAGAGAGCCAGTATGTGTTTTTATATGCATTTCAAGATTACTGTGAAGTACAAAGGGTTTACCACACTGATTACATTCATAGGGTTTCTCTACAGTATGTGTTCTTCTATGCCTTTGAAGATTACTATGATGTCCAAAGGCTTTAGTACATTGATCACATTCATATGGTTTCTCTCCGCTATGTGTTCTTTTATGCAATTGAAGAACCCTGTGGCGAGCAAAGGCTTTACCACACTGATTACATTCATAGGGTTTCTCTCCAGTGTGAGTTCTTTTATGCATTAGAAGAACACTGTTTTGAGCAAAGGCTTTACCACACTGATTACATTCATAGGGTTTCTCTCCAGTATGTGTTCTTGTGTGCCTTTGAAGATGACTGTATTGTACAAAGGCTTTACCACACTGATTACATTCATAGGGTTTCTCCCCAGTATGTGTTCTTGTGTGCCTTTGAAGATTACTGTATTGTACAAAGGCTTTACCACACTGATTACATTCATAGGGTTTCTCCCCAGTATGTGTTCTTGTGTGCCTTTGAAGATTACTGTATTGTACAAAGGCTTTACCACACTGATTACATTCATAGGGTTTCTCCCCAGTATGTGTTCTTGTGTGCCTTTGAAGATTACTGTATTGTACAAAGGCTTTACCACACTGCTTACATTCATAGGGTTTCTCTCCAGTATGTGTTCTTGTGTGCCTTTGAAGATGACTGTATTGTACAAAGGCTTTACCACACTGATTACATTCATAGGGTTTCTCCCCAGTATGTGTTTTTCTATGCATTTCAAGATTATTGTGAAGTACAAAGGCTTTACCACACTGATTACATTCACAGAGTTTCTCTCCAGTAGGTGTTCTTGTATGACTTTGAAGATTAATATGATTTCCAAAGGCTTTAGTGCATTGATCACATTCATATGGTTTCTCTCCAGTATGTGTTCTTGTATGCCTTTGAAGACTACTATGATGTCTAAAGGCTTTAGTACATTGATCACATTCATATGGTTTGTCTCCACTATGTGTTCTTTTATGCAATTGAAGAACACTGTGGCGAGCAAAGGCTTTACCACACTGATTACATTCATAGGGTTTCTCTCCAGTATGTGTTCTTTTATGCATTTGAAGAACGCTGCTTTGTGCAAAGGCTTTACCACACTGGTTACATTCATAGGGTTTCTCTCCAGTATGTGTTTTTCTATGCATTTCAAGATTATTGTGAATTACACAGGTTTTACCACACTGATTACATTCATAGGGCTTCTCTCCACTATGTGTTTTCTGATGCCTTTTAAGATTACCATGTTGTGCAAAGGCTTTAGCACATTGATTGCATTCATATTGTTTCTCTCCCTTTTGACTTCTTTCATGCCTACAAGGATAATTTAAAAATGTAAAGCTTTACCACAATTATTACACTGTTACATCTTTATTTCTCTAAGAATTAATTTTTCAGATCGTTGTACATGTAAAAAGGAATCAAATCTTAAGTTTTTATCACTTTGCTTAGACTCATGTTGTTGCTCTTCAATAAGGATAATTTTCCAAATTTGGAGTTGCCTGTTATGGTAAGAACCTTTATTACAGGACTCACATTTATGGCATATTTTTTCTCAAGGAGATTTTTTCATATATATGAAAAGAACTGGAAGAATTCATACTTGCACCCCACTTGTTTCATCAATATATTTTCCTATACTGTGAATCCTACTATATTTGCAAAGTGAACCAGGGAAGACAGAAGTATTACATCTTACCACTACTCATAGGGCTTCTCTTCAGTTTGTTTACTGATGTATTCATTTTTAAGCTGGGAAACCAATTACATGTAAACGTGAATCACATTTAGCAAGTCTACTCAACATGGCACCACTACACAACTTATAATTGTTTTGAGATGGACAAGGATACATTTCTTCTTCGATATCCCTATGTTCATACGACTTGTATCCAGAGTGACATATGATATTCCTAGTAAATGAAGAATAGCAAATACAAGGTTTCTACAATGCCTCCACACAGTTTGACATTTTGTTCCTCATGGACATGTCCTATGGGTTTTAAGGATTTTCCACTACAATCCTCCCTTAACTCTTGAATCTAACAACCCATTTCATTAAACTTAGCAGACTCAGAACAACTAGAGAGTAACACTAGCTTTACTATGGACTACTTGCTTATTAGAATGTTTTGGACATAGACTTATCATATATTCAATGTGTATACCTTTGGTAGTATGAGTGATATGAATCTAAATGAATTGGCAATTCTACAACACAGCTCTAATAGATCTATGATTCAAATGCTAATTTCTGTTAAGGTATTGATTGCTTGTCTTTCTTCTAAAAAGAATGACCTGCCAACACAATTCACTTACCTGCCTTTCAGGTATATGGATTATGAACATCATTAATGTACTTTAAGCTGTGATTATTTACATTGCTGCATTTCTTTAAAACTTAAAGAGACATTAAAATATTTCTGGGGGCACATTTGTATCAGCTTTTACATGAAAATTACCTTTCATGTCGTTCAGAACTTGGACAATGTTCTTCAACTTCAAGATCTTCCCAATTGTATCCTAAAATATAGGATGAAAAAATGTACGAAATATTACAGAAATTTGTGCAGAATTTTAAGTTACTATCTTCAGTGATCCTTAGAACCATGCCTGATTTAGTCACCCCATTCTTCCTCATTCTCAATCAGAATTACCAAAGAGCATCAATAACCGAGAAACAGTTGTTGCCTTACTTTAAAATGTGAAGGAAAATTTACCTATAGCAATGAGGTTCATATATGTCTCCAGCATCACATCTTTATAGAGATTCTTCTGGGAAGGATCCAGTAATGCCCACTCCTCCTGAGTGAAGTTGACATGCACATCATCATATGTCATGGCATCCTAAAATATGCCATACATAAGTATGCCATGCATATGTATAAAACAAAAGCATGATACTGACAACATTGTAAATGCATTTTTCTTTGACAATATAGTCATAATTCTGGTGCTTCCCACACTTATTCTACAACCCAGATATTACAATATAATCATCAATTTATTTTAGAATGAAACAGAATAGGAGGTTTGCTTCTATTGTTTCTGAATGCTTTGAATGGGATATCACCTTGCAAGAGAAATGCCTATTAACAGGCATAGAGAGACAAGCAAACACATCAGCAGTACTGAGTACACATCAGAGAAAATGTATGAATAATAACTAACTACAAAAAAGATGACTAAACTTAGTGTATTGGCTCATGCCTTTAATCCCAGAACTCAGAAAGCAGAGACAGGCATATGTGTATTAGTCTAGTCTATGCAATCAGTTCCAGGACAGCAACAAGTAACTATTAAGAACCTGTCTGCACTGCAAACATTAATCGAATGTCCAAAAAAGATAGGATAAACTCAGAGACTTTTTTTAATGAAGTTGCTACAAAGAGTTAGGCATTCACTCCAGTTCTGTATTCATCTTCCAGAAATCTGAATTGCTCTAGTTTAAACTGTAGTTTAAAAAATCTTACTAAAAAGAACTGTTTATTGAAACAGTTACAAATAGACAGATGATAACATTAGCAATATCACTGTTGATTATAAATAATCAACACAGGGCAGGACAGATGACTCAGAAGTTAAGAGCTTTTGCTGTTCCTTCATATAGATGGGTTCAATTGCCAGGACTTAAATGGGAAAATCACACAACTGTTCATTATTTCAAGCTCATGGATTCTAAGACTCACTTTTGACTACTGCTAGGGCCACACATATGTGTGGTACATATCCATGTATACAGGCAAAAGAATCATAATTATTACAAAGATCAAAACAAATACAATGAGCAAGAGGAATGTTACACCCATGTAATTTAAAGACTCAGAAGACCCAGGCACTATTATTGTCATGAATATTGCCATCCTGGGAAAGAGAATGATATCTTCTGCCAATTTTAAAAATTCAAGCTGGTGATAAAGCTCAGAAAAACAGCATAAGTTTGCCATGTACAAAAATGTATAATCTAGGCCAACCACCCAATAATATCTATTAAAAACACCTGGAATTTTGGCCAACCTTTAATGCAACCATGTAGAAGAAAGAGTCATTTAAATCTCAGAGTTTAAGGCCAGGCTGGTGTATAAAACTATGTTTAGGACAGTCAGGGTGACTCAGACAAAGTGTATCATCAGAAACAAATATAAAAACAGCAAAATTAAAAAAAATCATGCTAGAAAATGGCTTAGCATTGAATACTACTTTGTTTAATTGTATCTTATGTGATGTAGTAATACCATCTATAATGGTGGTGAAGTCATGACAGTACAAGAAGGAATATGGTTGATTCATATGAACCACAACATAATAGAAACCTAGAAAAGAAAATGAGTTGAGGCTATAGAGATACATATTATACCCCACCCCCAATGAGATATTTCATCCAGAGAGGTTCTTCCTACTTAAGTTTCTAAAAGCACCATGAAGGAAGCTGCCAAGGAGAGACATATGTTCAAATACCTCATCCTATCTGGGATCTTTTCATACAGTCGACTAGATTCGGACCCACATCACTATAGACTCAGGATTATCCATGATCATTTAGCCACCTCAATAATCCTCAGAGTCTGCACCACCTGTACATTTGAAAGATTTAAATTGTTTTCTGATTTTATAAGATGACACAGTCAAGAATTTGTCTTGAGTGTCAAAAGAGACTCAAGCCATTTTCTAGCATGATTTTTTTAAATTTTGCTGTCTTGAGTGTCCCTTTGACACTCAAGACAAATTCTTGACTGTGTCATCTTATAAAATCAGAAAACAATTTAAATCTTTTAAACAAATAAATGGCAGAGAAATCCCATTCCCATTCCAAAAGAGAGGAACTGAGACACAATGAGGAAACGTTGGATAAAGAGAAGACTGAAACTCAGCAGGGCAACCATCAAATCTAGTAGTTCTGTGTCAGACACATGGAGCTTCATTTTCAAAGGGCTTAGATGGCTCTCAACCCACAATTTCCCATACATCTCTCTCTTTGGTTACTTCCTCTCCATATATGCAGCTCTCCATGAAAGATATCTCATAGCTTTAGTATCTCAACATCTTATGGTCTCCAAATGCAACCCAGGCTGCATCCTCATAGTATCATGCAATGAACTTAGTGTCCTCACTGCATCTCTTACAATACCAAACACACATGGCTACAACAGTGCTGACCTGAAAACACAGACTAACAATGTATGAACTTAAATTTTGTATCATTCTGGTTTCTAGAACCAATTCACCATCAATGATTCCCCCCAATTTGGCTTCTAAGTTCTGATGGCCCCTACCATTCTTGGATCAGAGTTGCAGCAGGGTTTGTATGAAGTTCCTTCCTGGGACTGGGAATCACTTTGCCTAATCCCTCCATTAACTGATGGCATAGAAGGATGGATTCTTACCCTTAGGACACCTTGCTAGACTTCCAATATAGAGCAAAGGCCTTCTTTATAATGGTTATAATCTTCCTGAAATTCTTGTCTCTGTTTAGCATTTGACTGTCATCTGAAAATACATAGTCCTGTTTTTCTCTACAACCCATACATTTTTCATATATTTATGATCTACTTCTTGAATTTTTTCACTGTAATCCTGAATGAATCATAAATAATAGGCATCCAAGAGAGTCATTATTCCATCTAAGAAATCAGCCCCATTATTTTTTTAATGCTTCCTTACTCATTTTCTTGGGAACATGGCATAATAAGAAAGGTTAGGTGCCAAAATATCATATAAATGACCTCTATCTTAATTCCCACTGTAATACTATGTCCTCTACCCCAACTGTTTACAGTACTTTCAACAGTACTTTATTCTAAATACTACAAGAATGATCAATTAAGCTCTGTGTACAGCTTTCTATGTCCTTTGCCATCTAAATTTTGTTATCTTTAACATTCCTCCAAATGTCATCATTCTCAGAACCTTTGAATAACAAAATCACTTTTGGTTTATCACATTCTGCTATAACTTACATTTTTCTTGCTCTGATTCAATTGTCTAAACAAAAGTACCTCAGGTAAAAGATGTGCCTATTTGGCTCATTCTGCCAGATCACAATCCATCATTGTGGGAGCTTAGGTTAGAAATTCAGACTAGCAACTGAAGGCAAAACCATGAGGAATCTTCATTTCCTGGCTTTCCCTCTTACTTGGTCATTGTCTAATGCTTAGTTTACTGTCTTATCCAGTGCAGGCAAACTTTCTTAGGGATATTGCACACTCAGTGGAAGGGCCATTACCCATCAATCATCAATCAACAAAATCTCTCAAAGACTTAGAAACCAGCCATTCTGATGGGAACATCCTCAACTGATGTTCCCAAAGGTGATTGTAGAATCTGAATTATTGACATTAATTAAAACAATAATATGTGAGAAGAGTTAAAAAAAAAACAATATATCACTACACCAATAACTTAAGTAGGTAAAATGCAAATATTAATGATAATAACAACTAAAAACACAGATATGATAAAAAATGAGGAAATACAAGTTTCTAGGAGCAAGAAAAGGAAGCTTAATTTTTTGTACACAGAAAATCGCCAAACCAATAAACTCAAGAAACTCCTGACATAATGTATCAGTTTTCCAGAAAATAAAAATAGGTGAAGCTTCATCATTTTCCAGAGAAACAAATACAGCTAGATTATAGGCAGTGGGAATGAGTCCTGTACTCAGTGCATGAGTTGGCTGTTTGAAACCTGGGACTTATACAGGGACACTTGTCTCAGCCTTGGTGGAGGGGACTGGACCTGCCTGGACTGAATTTACCAGGTTGAACTCAATCCTCAGGGGAGTCTTTGCCCTGGAGGAGATGGGAATGTGGGGTGGGCTGGGGAGAAGGCAGGGGGGCCGGGAGGGGAGAGAACAAGGGAATCAGTTGCTGATATGTAAAATTAAATTAAATTATAAAATAAAATAAAAAAATAATCACACAACATAGATGGTACCATTGACAAAAAAAGACAGAGAGGAAGGCATACAAATATAACATTGTCACTTGAACAAGAAATATTACATTCTAATAAAAATTCAAATCAAAGAAAACACTGACTAACACTCACCTTGTGCACTCCAGTTCTCGCCTTCACCAATAATAGAAAATGAGGTCAGTGGTGGGAGACACCTTTAATTCCAGCACTCGAGAGGCAGAGCCAGGAAGATCTCTATGAGTTTGAGGCCAGACTGGTCTACAGAGTGAGATCCAGGACAGACAACAAAACTACATAGAAAAACCTTGTCTCAAAAAACGGAAAAAAATGGGTTGGGTGAGAAGGACTCTTCCACCAAAATTGGATAGACTTCCTTGAATTGTAATAATTCTACATTATAGAAAATAGTTTTGGCTCTTAAAGCTATATCATTCTCTGTTGGTAATGAAAAGGATGTCTGTTAGATCATTTAGAAACGATTTTCTTTCCTATGATTGAAGATTGGATTTAAGTCTGCATCAGAGTGGGAAAATGGAAAATTTTCAAACCAAAGGAAAGGTAAAAGCCTTTTAAATAAATATTGTGTGATTTCTATTCTATACCTAAAGCAAGCTGATTTCCTTTAATTATTTTATAAGTCATAAGGGCTTTTGAAAACAAATCTAGCCATATTTTATGTGTACATTTGTATGTGTGAAAGAGCATATTTTCCATGTGTACAGATGACACAACAAAGAGCATATCAGATCCCCTGGATCTGGGAATATCAAATAGTTATAATCCTCAAAACTTGGGTGATGGTATCTGAACTCCTCCAAGAAGAATACTTGCAGAGTGACATGCAGAGTACTTTTTATCCAACAAACTGAAAGTCTTTCACAGATTAACCACAACAGAAATCTAAATAAGGAAATAAGGAAAAGAATGATCCCTGGGAACCTAATGAATCGGTATTAAGATGTTGGGTATGGGATCAGGTAGGCTACCTACAGACTTTCCCCACTCTCTGTTACCCAAGACTCAGGGTCACCCCAAGGGCTGAAACAGAACTGCAGCTTCTCCTTTCCCTTTCCATGTCCCCTCTGGATTCCAAAAACTATCCCCACCTACCCTTCCCTACTCACTTCATATCTGAGTCACATCACTCAAATGGGCAGGACACTCCCTGGCTCAATTATTTGCTACATCTTCCAGAATGCCAGTTAAAATGCTTGCAGATCTATGACACCATCACTTACCCTAGACCTTATTCTAAAAGTTGCCCTTACCACTGGAGTAGAACACCAGAGGCATCTTCCCCTCTGCCCTCTCCATGTCTTCTGTGGATCCCTAATATCAGCCTTCCCTGCATTTATTTTCCCCCAGCTTCCAACACCACCAAGCCTTCTCCCTTGAACACAACAGCCAAGAAGGCCAGGACAAAAG